GGGCGGGCCGGGGCGTCCGGTGCTGCTCTGAGGGGGCGGCCGGGGCATCCCGGGTGAGGGGGGCCCCTGAGAGTAAGGGGCGTGCGTGAGAAGCTGCGAGCGGGGCCCGAAGGCAGGCGGGAGCAGGAGGGGTAGGTGAAGTGGCGGCCGGGGCCTGGCGAAAATTGCGGCAGGTGGTAGGGTCTGGGAGGCCGGGTATCGCTTCTCCGCAGCCTAACGAGCCGCGGGCCGGGCACGCCGCGGGTCTGCCAGCCCGCCGCGAGCGCCCTGGTCGGCCTCGGTGCTGCTCGATGCCTGCTCGGGAGTTTGAATGAGTCCTCCCTCCTCCCCTAGAAGGCGAAGTAACCGGGCTGTCTGCGTGCCACATGTTCTCGTCCCCTCTGCAGGCCTCTCCTAGAGAAGCGGAGGCTACAGGAGCTACCGCGGCTGGCAGGAGGGTCCTCTGCCTTTCTCCTTCAAGGGTTTCCTAAGGCACTTCTGAGATTTTTATGAGGGCTGAGTCCCAGGCTCATTTTGTTTGCAGCCACGACCTAACTATAACTGCTGTGTATATAGGATTGTTTTTTGAGTCACTGAGGAGCCTCTGAAGGAGAGAGGCGTACGAGAAAAAGGAATAGTTTATTGAAACTGTGGACAAAGTATCTATTGTAGTCCTAAATATTGCCTTACAATTCAGTCACGATTAGGAAAGTATCTTCCATCATGATGATAAAGAAGTCACTTTTGCAGATAGTTGCCTAATATTTGGCTAGTTAAGGTAATTATATTTTAGTAATCATCTGAGACCTGTTTTGAGAGGAACATGAGACCATTTCTTTTGCATAAAGTCTATTTTCGAAGATGTATCTTTTCTTCTGAGAGAATATTTTATTTTTCATGTTTTTGTTCTATGTTGCCTGCAGAAGGGGCTGCTCTTTTGGACAGGGATAAGTGTTTTGGGTTTTGTGGGGGTTTTTTTGTTTTTGCTTTATCTTTTTTCCCCCATTTTGTTTCACTGTTCCCATTCATTAATGCATTGGGGTTCAGCATGACTCAAATTTTTAGGTGCTACTATGATAAAAATATGATTAAAAATATGGAAATTACACATGATTTATGAAGCATTAATTTATCTAAACTTGCAGAGCTTGATTTATCAGTTTTTAAAAATTATTTATAAAGATTTCAGAAAAAGTATAGTTTCCTGCATATGATGTTAGATCTGCAGGGGAACATATAAAGGATACCAACATCAGTAATCCTCTGAGAGAAAAAGTTTAGTTTCCTGTATATGAAGTAGATCTGAAGGGGAACATGTAAAGGATACCAACATCAGTAATCCTCTGAGACCACCCTTTGAGACTATATTTCTTATTAAGACTTACCATTTTTCCAGTCCTCTTCTGTGAAACAGAAATATTTTTTTTTTTAAGTTAGCTAAGCAGTCATCAAGCTGTTATCAGAAGATTTATTTTTTGTTTCCCCTTTAGTATCTCAGAAAATCTGTGGATTATGAGGGAATTTGGAGTGAAGAACATGTACTGCAATGGAGGATTTTACTCTGCTGCAGCATGATGTCTCCACTACCAGTTCACTCCTCCATGGCATGTGCATTTAGGAGCCATCTTCCATTTGGAAGCAGAGTCAGTGAGTGCCAGGGAGCAAATCTGGTCATCTTGTAATGGAGTGAGGTTTAGGTAGGAGGTTGGGATGAGGCAGGGAAGGGATCTAGAGCTAAAGTAGTAGAGAAGGGAGGAGAACGTGAGAATAAAAGATGATGGAACAAGCTTTTTTTGGTTATGGTTGGCAAATATGGGTCAGCATTAAGAACTGTCTCCTACTGTTGCATGATCTTGCCTTATTCTCATCTTCAGTAACAGGGTGTGAAGGGATGCTGCTTCTGAAATTTAGTTTGTGATCCTGATGGGTAAATGGCTTGGAGATTACACTAAACCCTTTAAAAGCTTTTTCCCCTTTCATACAATGCTAAAACTTGCTTTTTCTTAGCATTCTGTAATTTTTAAAATATAAACTCATGGTTTCAGACCTAATGCTAATCCACTTTCTGGTTACTAATAGTAAAATTGAAATGAACACATTTCTTTGCTGCTTCTGGGGGAGCAGTGAACACCACCGAAGGCACTTACTGGTGCACAGACCTGGGAGAAAACACCTGTATTTTTTCACAAATCTTAACAGAAAAAAGAAGTACTTTCTGCATAAATTAGATACTTGAAAACAAAGCTTTTTACTTGCTATTGACAAGAGTGTGGTTAGATATTTTAACCTCTTTTTCAGTGTAGGTGCCTCTTTCCTAGGAAAGTAAAACAAAGGGCATGATCTAGTAGGAAACTGTATTTCTGTTTAAATAGTTTAAGAGAATGTTATTACTTTCTCAGCTGAATGTTACATTCTCCCAGCTGAGATGTTATAACTGGCTGTGTATTCATTATACTCTTTAGTACAAGAAGACAAAATTCATGTTAATAATTGCAAAAAATCATACCGAAGGTGATGTAAGTGAACTAAGCAGTGCAGTAGTGTTAGGAGTATGTACTGCATATTTAGTCAGGACCTATCTGAGGATGGTATTTTCTTAAATTTCTTAAGTCTCCCTAAGAGGATAGTAGGGTCTTGCCTTATATCCATGATATTGCCAGGTAGCTCTTAATTTGATTTTATTTCTTTCTTTCTTTCTTTTTTTTTTTTTATTTTTGAGGCAGGGAGGGGAATACTATGTCAATTGTCCAAAAAATACTTGTAGCATTATTCTAGAGAAGGAGGCCTGATGGAAAGTGGTGTCAATCACTTTTTGCCTGCAGAAATGTTGAAAGTCTTTTTTGTGGTTGGCTTTTTCCCTCTGAATGCCATTAGAAGGGGCAGTCAGGTTGAAAACCTATAACATACAATTTCTGATGATGAGTAGAAAGTGTTCCTGCATAGATTTCATTGACCTGCGTAGAATGCAAATGTTTTCTTCTTTTCTTATGGATGTGTTAAGTCCACGTGATTGCAAAGACAGCATCCTAAACCTGATATGTGTTCAAGTGTAGTACCTTATTCCTAGATCTGCTGACAATGAAAATCCTGTGGCGTTGATTAGTAAAGTGGAAAAAAAATTGATTTCCTTAGTTGTCATTGCTGCTAATTCAGAGTTTTTTGATGGTGAAACACAGAGGAGGAGTTGGTGGTGTTTGGAGAAAATGCTGAGGAAATGATGGAGATTGAAGGTTGGTCTGGTCGGATTTTTGTTGTTGGCACCTTCAGTATCATCCTAACACGGCTGGAAGCTCTGACACAGGAACAGAACTAGGAACAAATTTTCATGTCTCTTATTTCACAATCATAAATTAATTTCCAGTTTAAGCCATACTGGAATGAACATATAATATTTTTAGAGTATATATCACTTTAAGCTGATATGTGCTGTTGTCACATCTTTTCTTGGAGGGGGAAGAAAGGTAGTTTTATGCAGCTAGGTGGCCACATGTATGAAAGCTAAACACATGGATGTATGAGCCCTCCATTCTGGTATCAGCCCACATTTATATTGGCTTCAAGTGACTGGAACCACAGCCTTAGTGAATGTGATATTCAGTATTCACTTCATGCATTTGCATTTTCTGGACTCAAAGTTTTGCTTAAAAATATAGTTCTGAAGATTCCAGATGGCTATCTTTGCAGTATAAATCAATGTAGTTTTGTCTTCCTGCATTTGTAGATGGCCTGAAACAAAATGCTAGGAATGTGAATTTATACGCTTTACTGTTCACTTCCATTTGGGCATTGAATGAAGACCGGTGCAGAAGATAATTGTAAATTGATGCAAGGAAACAAATACTCAGGCAAGGTCAAGGAGAAATTTAAAATAGCGGATTGCCGATGACAGAAAGAAGTGAAGGAATAGGACACAATATATATTTTTCCTACTGAATACTTCTTTGCTCCAAATCTGTTCTGTCCTGCGCAGGGACTGAAACAAATAGGTAGTCCCATGACCTGTTCAACATAGTTACAAATAAAGGTGTTTGTTTTCCCCTCATAAAACTAGGAAATACTACTGTATTGCTGCTTGCCATCAGTTCTTGTGAGATGCACTACGCGTTGATACTTCAGTTGGTGTGCATCTGTGAGTGCTTTCTAGACCGTTTCAGTCAAAAGAAACTAGTTTATATTAAACGGTATTATTACCAGATCATTGCTAGCAAAGGTGATTTTGAAAATAGTTCCCCAAGATGTATTTTTAAGCATATCAACATGTGTGAGTGATAATCTCTGGCAGAGAGATGCTTGTGAAAAGTTTGGGACGGTTATCTTTTTCCATTGGCACAGATAATTTTGAAGGAGAACAGCTGTCTGCAGCCTGGCCATGAATTGGCCA